AGGATAGCTCTATGTTCATTGAAAAGCAGAGTCAGCTTTCCCTTGGCACTATGTATAGTATTCCCAAGGTGACAGCATGAAAGCAGTAATGGGTGGAGGTTTAAAAAAACCCCTAATTAATACTGAATTTGGTCATAAAAGGAGCCTCCTCTTTAGAGGGATTAAAGCCTACCTTTGCAATATCTAACTGGACTTGCTGGGAGCATTAAATTATCCTGAAGGTCATGTGCTAAGGACAGCATGCCATTAAGAAAGAGGCTGATGAAGAAAGCAGTCTGCAGTCACTGTGGAAAGAGGGTGTTTCCTTGATTTTGGGTCTTTGGAGGTGATGGTGGGAGTAACCAGAATCCCTGACTTGGAAAAAGACATTGAAAAGCTGTGTAAAAAGAAGAATGAGCCTAATTTGTCTTTAATCTTTGGGATGACAGATGAGAGGAAAGCAAATGTGCCAAAGGGATGAGCTGAAGTGAGTTTGGGAGCCAGCATACCCTGAGAGGAGTGAGTGTCTGTCTCTGCTGAGAGTCTCAGTGGAAGGTTTGCTGTCTTTGGGTCCATAAAGGCAGTCGGGTGGGGTGGGAGGAGGGAAGAGAGAAAGTAGAAGATGTGAATAGCATCACCCCACCCATGCCATGAGCTCTCGACTGGGTGACCATGGTGCCTGTGGAGGGGCCCACAGTGAGAACAGGGAGAATCCCTCATATTGAAGCTGTTTGAAATTATATCAGACAGAGCACTGGGGACCTACCACAGGACCAAAAGCCTCCTGCACTGGTGGAGAATGTCTGATGTCTATATTTTTTTGGTTTAATGATCAGCTTTTGTGGTTGATCGTGTTAGTTCATACCTATTCTAATCACTCTGAAGTTTAATGTGGGCCTGAATTTTTTTTTTGCCTGAGGCTCTGAGCATAGTTCCAGTGAGCTCAGAATTGGTTTTGTCTTTGACTTTAATGGGATTATAATTGAATCCTAAATCAGGTAGCTGTCCTTAGGCTAAGTAAACAGTGGCTTGTGTAGCTGGGGGTAAAACAAGAAAGAGGGTGCATTTATAGTACTTTAAGTGCTTGTTTCTGGCTTCCTGTGTGGACAAGAAGACTAGTCTACCTTGTACCTAATGCATGCTAAAAGTGCCTATGTGGAGAAAGAGCACATGGGAATTGGTGTGCTGTTAGTTGAGATATAGTCTGTGTTTTAGTACGATGGGCTACAGAAGCCCCAGAGGGGCAGATAATCAAGAAGTGCATGATATGAATGAGAGCACAGGGCATTAAGGAGGGCATCACTATCTGAAAACATAGGAGCACTCTGAGAAATGAGAGCAGTGAAAGTTCTGTCACAGCAGTGGAGGTTCAGCTGTGTGGTTGCAGGCTGACTTGTGACCCCAGCTGTAAGCACATTCCAACAGCTGCAGCAAGCTGCTAAATCATTCTTGGCTAATGCTGACATCAAATTATTGAAATAATTTTTGTAAGGTTATCCTTTGCCATAGGGACAAATACATAAGGCTTTATATGCCTCCTGCTGTATTCCCTTTAGCTCTATTCATCTTAATTTTAAAATAATATATTATTTCTTTGTCAGCCAATCTGTTCTCCTCATTACTTGGTTTCTATGTTTTTTTTTTCCCCTCTCAATAAGACAACTTGCAATTAATCCAGAATGCTGAACTCGTGACTTTGCAGATGCCAACACAGTAAGTGGCTGTGATGATATCCCAGCCATGAGATAGTGACTCTCCAGGGAGATCAAAAAGAAACCAACATGCAACAAAATACTGCCATCAGTATCTGCAAGCAGGTTAGCTCAATGTCACTGCAGCAAATTCTTTGTGGTTACTGGAAGTCATCTCTTAATACCAGAGAACAACCCTATCCCTGAATATCTGCTAAAGAACATCCGTAAGAGCATTAAAAACAGATTAAAAACAAAACCCCAAACACTTAATGCTCTTAAGCCTTTGATTGTATTGTCATGTCAATGTACTGTGGATGCATCTTTTCTCTCTGGAAGTGTAGAGCAGAGCATTTGAGGAAACTACAGCTTGTATCAGGGAAATTACTTTTCTCATATCTATGCAACTGTGTCTACATGTGCTGTTGTGCCTGTTGAAAATCGTGCTTTTGAAGTGGATCTGTCATACCAACCTGACAGCAAAAATGTGTTGCTGATGATTTTATTTGCTTGCTGTCCAATAATGTGAGTAGCCAAAGTAAAGCAGCTGGGCTGAATGTGCTGGGATCTGCTTTCAGCAGCATTCAGTCATCAGCACCTCCCTGGGCTGCCATCAGGCTGCCAGGGCACATTACTGCAAAATTCCTGAGCAACTTGCATAGTCTTCAGGTGCTGCTCAGGGCTCGGGAGATTCCAGATCTAGTTTTATCTAAATGCTGGCAACCTGCCCTGCGTTTGTGTGGGCTTGACTGCAGGTGGTCAGGCGACAGCCCTGACAGCAGTTCAGCTCGGAGCTGAGAGCTGGGGAGATCATGTCTTGCATGAGGGGCTGGATCATTCCATGCATTTCTTTTTAGTCTTGGTGAGTGGGGAGGAACTGTACAGCTGCTGGGCTGTGCCACTGCAAGTACCAAATATTCAAAACATAGCAGGGTAGAGGCAAGCACTGATTAGGAACCAGAGGTTCCTCATTCAAAGGAGCCTGGGCAAGCAGTGGCCTGGGGGAGGGTGTTTGTGTCCTTCTGAATGTGAGAACTTCACCAGGCTGGCTGTGTCCATGCCAGGACAAGCAGGGAAAAAAAATATCCTCTTGTATGCACTGTGGCACTGGTGTGCTGCAGAGGAACAGCCCTCCTGGTCTCTCTTCCAGGTATGGAGTAGCCTCTTCACTCTCTGCTGGGCCGGATGCGTTAGGGTACCCTCGAAGCCACCGCTGGAATCGTGTTGCCTCCAGGACTCCCTGTCTGGATTTGGGAGTTAAAAGAAAATGAGCTTCTTGAGCTTCTGGTACCATTTCTAGATACTTGCTGGCACACAGCATTTGTCCCCAGACTTCTCAGCCTCTAACCAGACTGTGAAATGTCAGAAAGCTGAAGAGCGCTTCTATTTTTGCAAATGGGGATCAGAAAATATCATTTGCTTTTAGCATCTCCCCTTACGAGGAGCACAAGGTGGGCAGCAGCTTTTGCGCTGTATTAGGCCATCAGACCAGCCATAATCAGCATGTTTTATGTTTCTACATGGGCTCCTGGCCACCTGTATAATGTCCCTCTGTTGAACTGGGCGTGATGCCTGCTGACACTGAGATACCCAGATAGTTTGAATGAGGCATGGGTTCCAGGGGGTGATGATTTTCCTGAAGGACAGTTTGCAGCAGCATGACAAATGCTGACCCTCCTGTGTGAAGTTCTTCCCATGCACTGTTCTTATGGCAGGGCCATTCACTTCTCCTTACTTCAAGGCATTTGGGGAGATTCACCTTGAAGGAATGCAAACACCTTGTGGCAATGATGGCCAATGAATATTCAGAGACAGTCCCTGGCCCTCTGGGACTGTATGTGAGCAATTTTAATGGATTCATCTTAGAGCTTGCACAGAGCTTTTCTGTGAAAGGTCAATTTGCAGAAACATGCAGTTTTAGAATAACCACATCGATTTTCCATCTGATTTGTTAACTGGCTGTTAGTGGGAAAGGACGTGGTAAAACTGGCTTCCAGGAGTGACAGAGGATCTCCTCTGAAACCAAGGTGCAAGGACCCCATTGCATGAGGCTGTGTGCTCAAGTTCCCCTTGCTGTGAAAGGAAGTTTGAGCCTGCATCTCCCAGCTGATGTCTTGAGTGATGGGGAGGGTGGGTGTCCCAAAGCCTGCTGCTGGTCTTGCTCTGGTTATTAGGTTATTAGAAGAGGGTTTGGATACTGAGGCTCTGAGCACCTAAGGGAATATTGAAAGTACTAAGATAGGGATTTCTGTTTATTTCCACCCTCACTGACTGTGTCCTGATGGAAATAGAACAGGTTTGATAGAATGGAACCAATTCCTGTACCTGAAATGTTGAAAGAAACTTGTAGCAAATAGGGACACCAAATGTTGCATGTTGAAAACATCAACAAAACCTTTCAAGTTATTAGGAATTCATCAAACTCTCTGCCAAAACAGAGTTAAAAAAATCTGGCAGTTGTTCATGAGACATTTCAATGATGTTGTAGCTGTATTTTTTTGTTGGCAATTGTTTCAGCTGAAACTTTATCTGGTGCTTCTTGAGGTCACCTGGGGTCCTACTTAAACCTGTGTGTCTTGCTGTATGTGTGATTCTTGCTAGTGCTTCAAAGAAGTCTAGAGATCAAATTGATCTCTTCATAACCATTAAAAAAAGATATTCTTATACCTATCTTTATGTCAACACCCTAGGACAGCAAGTGGTTTGTTACGTAGCAAGCTTGTGGTTAAGGTGTTTTGCCATGACTCTGGATGACCTCCATATTACACCCAATGTTGCATGCTCAGGATACTTTAAGATTTTACTGAGATGTGACTTGTTTAGTGTCAGACTCACTTAAAAGTTTTATAAGTTGAAAGCTTCTATTTAAATATTTCTTGTTATTGCTTGTTTGGATTCTTTTTTTGGTCTACCTTTAAGAAACAAGAACAACATTGACTTGAAAATTTCTTTTACAGCTCCCTGTGCCTGAAAATATAAGTCAGGTTTTGGATGGAAAGGAAAATGTGACTAAAAATGTTTAAATTTTAGGAAAACTGTCAGTGTTCATTCAGTTTTGTTTTTTTTTTTTAAAAATGAAATGAGAGTGTTTTGGGTTTTGGAGTTAACAAGATACTAGATAGTTTTTGACTTCTTATTCAGGTTTATGTTTTCAGAAGAGAGTTTATGTTTTTAGAAGAGAGGCAGTCAGAAGTTTCTCAGGACTTTCTCTGGTCTCAAAAAAGGCGTGCAGGTAGTTGTAAATATGTGTATGAAGAGCAGATTTTAGCTGGGTTTTGAAACAACTGGGAGAACCTCTGTGTGACCAACTTGTCTTTCCCCATTTTACAGGTTCCAGAATCTGCTGTGGTCTCGAAAAGCATTTGTGGACAGCGTGAAGGTGTATAACCACAGCTACATCTACATGCCAGCCTTCTCCATGAAGACAGGGACAGGACCTTCCCTCCGTGTCTATTACACCCTGGAGGACTTTGATGCCAAGCAGGCAGTCCTTTTTGCCAACCCCAACTTCCTGCGTGACATTGGCAAGTTCTGGAAGAACAAAGGTATCCATGCCAAACGACTTTCCACGGGGCTTTTCCTGGTCAGTGCCGCCCTTGGTCTGTGTGAAGAAGTAACAATTTATGGCTTCTGGCCATTCTCGGTGGACTTGCACGGGAAATTTATTAGCCATCATTACTATGACAATGTCTTGCCTGATTCTGGATTCCATGCCATGCCAGAGGAATTTCTACAGCTCTGGTTTCTTCATAAAAGTGGCGTACTGAGAATGCAGCTAGAACCCTGCGAGGACCCTTTAATCCAGTCTTCGGCCTGAGGAGTCAGTTTGGGAGATCCAATAGTTTTTAATTTCCACGTTCTACAACAGAGAGCTCTGTTTTCTGTTGATTCTTGCTAAAGGGAAAATAATTTTGGATCTGCATGGACCATAAAAATGCTACTTGAAGGCCAAATGGAACATTTCCTTAATGTATAGTGCTTTATGGAAGCGGGGTAGGGGAAGGCAGATCTCTCCATCGAGTCCATTCAGCAGCATTGTGAAAATGATGTCAGAAGCAACACAGCTGAACTTTCCAGGGGACTTTTTTAAATAACTGATGTAAAAAAGGCATTAAGGCTCAGAGAGACACAGGGCCACCCACAAGCTTTTGCTGACAGTGCCAAATATGACTGTCTGTTCATAAAATCCATTTCATTCCAGATTGGCACCTTGTACAACTTTCCTTTTCCTGTGTTTTTGCCCCCCCCCCCCCCCCCGGTTTGGGGAAGAGAGTATGTAGGTGAGCACATGTGTGGTGTTGACTTACTTTGTTTCTTTTTCTTTTTTTTTAATTTCTCTTCTAATGAAAGGAAAAGGAAAGGCTTAAAAGCCCCAGGAGCTGAGTACCATCAACTCTTCTGAAGACTCTTGGGAGAGCGAAGGGTGCTAAGAATCTGGTTAGAAGAATGTCCTAGGAATGCCCTGCTACTGAGTATGGGTGGACCTGCCTGTTGTAGGTTTTATTAGGATAGTTTAGGTCATTGTACCTACAGCTATGATAATGTTACACTGTGGGCAAGAGCTGGTTGAGGGAAATTGATCTGAAAATAAAAGGTGTGTTATAAAACCAGTAGCAAAGTGCAGCCTTGTTTCAGCTGACCTGCTGCAAGATTTCAACAGTGACTTTTGTAGTAGGGATGGTTCTTGACCTGTTTTGCTGTTCAGCCTTAGGGATTAACTCTATATTCATTTGGACTTCAGATGTTCATTGGCAGTTGAGGGGATCTGAGGTGTTCAGTGGAATGCAGAATGAGGTTCTTCATTTGCTTACAGGAGAAAAACTGCAGAAATGAATGTAAGTGTCATTTAAAATGAGCTGAAGCTTTGAAAATCCTTTGTGTGACTAGTTCTTCTGCTCGGATTGTAACGTTAGCCTTAAAGACTTGTACTTTTCTTGCAAGATTGTCTCGGATTAAAGATAGTTGAAAAATAAAACAGCCTTTGGGAGCACGGAAAAGCTGCATAGCCAGCAAGAAAAAAAAGAAAAAAAAAAGAATGGTAAAGCAGCAGGCCCTTACATAAGGCAACCTCTCCTTGGCAGTGGGTGAATCATGTCAGCGTGCGCATTGCTCCTGCGCTGCTCCAGCCAGCTCAGTGCCTGGAGACCTGTTTTATTTTGGGTTATTACTTGGGCAGCAGATGGTCCTATCACCATGTAAATGAGAAATCTTTTTCTTTTTTTGCTTTGGTCGAGCGCCGTAGGACAAGGAGAGAATAGCAGCTCAGTCCACAGTGCCATTTCAGCTGCAAAATGTTGTCGCCGTTAACTTTAGAAGTCCCAGTCAGTGTTCTCCATCTTACCCTTCCATCATTAGTAGCTGGAATTCTAGTCCAAGTGTTGAAACATCAAAACCATCATCAGGTTTCTACAAGAATTTCCTGTGCTACCCGTTTTAGCTCCAAAGTGCTAGTATTTTGGAGGGGATGTGTCCTGCCATATGTTGACAACATCTCTCTTTATAGACTACCAGCTTCAAGTTACATAGATATAATTAAAAAAAAACAAAACAAGGCAAATTCCATGGCTCGTCTTTCAATATGAATAGTTTAACTATCTATGTAGGACACTGGGAAAAAAAAAACCACCATGTTTTGCTTTTTAAACCTATGTTTCATAATAAAATTTTCTTTCTAAATATGGATATTCCAGGCATAAAGTGGACGTTGTTCCATAGGTTTACAGGGCTGTGCTAAACTGTAACATGGAGATTTGGATTCAGTAGTGTTCTAGGGATTGTTCTGATGAAATCTGAATGTGCTTCTATAACACATATTATCTTTACCCATGTTTTTGTTAAAAGTACAGTCTGCACACTGATGGAATGTCACTTGAAAATTTGTTCCCTTTCATTATGTTTGTTTTCTCTGTGATGTGGGTACTTGGTGAGGAAGGATTTGAAAGTAAAATAGTTTCTTTACTGCTTCTTACAGCAGAATTTTCCTGAGTTGCCTTGCTTAGAGAATAAGAGGTGCCTGTGTGGTTTTTATTGTATGCATCAAGTTTTGCACTTTTTAGTGCTTTAAGGACTACATTGTCTGGGAGAATAATAGTGAAAACAATGCTGTGCTAAAATGGCACTTCAGTAGAATGCCAGCAATTCCTTGGGGGTGGGAGGGAATGAGGAGAGTAGAGGGGAACTGCCTCTTTGCTGGTCTTTTTTTTTTTTTGTATTTATACTAATACTGGGGAATTTAGTTCTGAACCTCTCCGATGGCACTCCAACCCTTTGGTAATCCTTTTTTTCCATGTCTTGGGAAAATGATCTGAATGGACAAACAAGAGAAAAACATGTATTTTTGTAGGAAAACTCTGTGCAGTGTTTCATGTTGTCTGGCTTGTTGATGTTCAGATGGTGCCCTTGGGAGATGTCATATTCCCCACCTCTGTAAGACTGAGTCAGACAGAACCTGTAGCCTGTGGTCTTTGTGAGTCTCTTCTGATTTCTGCAGGACTGTTGTTTTCAAGAAGATAGCTTTCACAAAAATACAGGAGTAGGAGAGACCCAGGCTGTGTGTAATGGGTGACAGATGTTGGAGAAGTTTATCATTTTGGCTCTATTCACATTTATGTGTTGTGGCTATAACTCCATCTTTACACAGGCAACTGCATTTGATTAGGAAGTAAAGGTTTCAAGGGTAAACAATTTTCTGTAACTTCCAGCAAACTGGGAGCTGAGGAAAGAAGAGAAGCAAAGCTAAATGCCCCTTTTGAGAAAGCAAAATCTGTTTTAGCTGGCTGACCTGTCAGCCCCTGCAAACACTGGCCAGTGATCAGTCTTTTGCCCAGCAAAAAAAGAGGTGCAGGAGAGTACTGCAAGTGGTTCGTGGCAAGAGCAGCCACAAAGGGAAAGGAAAAAAAAGAGAAGGAGACAAAAGCAGCATGCTCTGTCCTTGCTGCTGCTCAGGCTTGCCATGTCTAAATCTCTGAGGGGAGGTTGTCCATGTATAGGGTCATGGATATGAAATATGGCATTGCATATGAGGGAGTGAGGTTGTATCCTGCTTCAGGAGGGAATCACACCGTGGGATAGGACCATGCTTCTCCTTAAAGACAGGCAAACCCAGGAGGCTAACTGTTAACCACAAGAAATCACCATCTCACAGTCATGTCAGATTTTGGTTGGAGTAATTATATCCATCCAGCATTTACCTATTGCTTGATTCCAGTGCCCTTAATCAAATCTCATTGCTTGTGTTGCTGTGTGTTCCTTGAAGTGGATTGAAATCTCAATGTTTATTTTGTTGGTGAAATCCCTACTCTAGCTTCTCTATTTCCACTGCCAGTCCCTGAACTTCTCTGATAGTGTAGCTAAAGCAGCACAAGTCTTTGCCAGGTTGAAAGGTCCTGCAATTCATCTTCAATAAAATCTCCTTCAGAGTGGCCAAATGATTTGTTAATGATGTTCCTAGTTATTAGTTTTATCATAGAGTTGACAAGGTACAGAAGCACTGGAATTATTGCTCTGCATAAGAGGCATTGCCCCATGTTTGTAAGTAGAGTAAATTAAATGCCTTTACAAGAGCTGTTCATGGAAGATATTCAGTACTGAAGTCACTCTAGATATAATCTTCTGGGGGATATATGTGCTTTTGAGTAAATCAAGACCAATTTTTGAACTTACGCCAAAACTATGTAAAACTTCTCCTTCTTCCTGATGATTGTTTAAGCCTTTGGAGCTCCTTCTAAAACAGACAAGCAAAACAGAAGCCAAGAGACTAAAATCATGGAGAAGGGGTGTGTGTGCTTATGAGAATAAAAACATTTATCATTTTGGCACAGACAAAGGTCTGTTATTCATGAACTTTTTATTTCTATACTTTTTTTCTGAAATGAAAATATCAAGTTTGGGGTGAACTAGCTACAAAACTAAAAAGTCCAAGCCTCTATTACATCTTAACTTTTGGAGACTATAGAAATACTGGCCATTTTGTCAACTTTACTTTGACCTTTTTGTTAACTTCATCAAAAAGGTGTCATAATGCACCCTGCTGAGTTTGCACCTCTGTGGCATTGAAACGAAGCAATGCATCTGAATTGCTTTTTTAAACTGAGTGTCTGAACTGTGGTAGTTATGTAAAACCCTTCCTCTAGACATCTTCATGGAAACAGGATTGATATCTGGCTCACCTTTGCCTGTAATTAATGAGAACATGAGTGAGGAAACTTTTTATCTCGAAGTGAGGATTCTGAAGGAGGTGAATGGTATTTTACCATTTGCTGCCTGCTTTGGTTCTTCAGCTCAGTGGATTAGTAAGTATTGGAAGAAGTCCAGGTTCTGTGAAGGACAGGCTGTTCTTGAAGATTTGGATGATGCTGGAAGAAAAAAAAAGATCAAATCAGTGGTGTAGCAAATCAGAGCGTAGCAATCCTTGATAAAGATCCTCAGTTCTAAGCAACTGTAGGACATTTTAATAAGGTAATGACTGCGAAAAGTGGACTATCTATAACCTATATGTGATTTTCTGCAGGGTGGCAGCAAAGCAAAATGCTAGGAGAAGGGAAACTAATTAAACAGAAAGGAAAATACAGTGGAACAAAGAATGATGATGAAAAGCCTTATCTTTCCCTTCTTTCTTGCCATGCCCCCCCCAACATGGTTATAAAATGAATAGGCAATTATCCTGAGTCACTGTCTGCTTCATGCAATGATATGGTAGGATTTCCTATAGCTGATACTTCCTAGTAAACAAAATTCTTCAGACCTTGTCTAGAAATGCCTCTTCTTGGCTCCATGGATCTTTAGGGGGTGCTCTGGGGTCTGTGGCTGCTCTGCTATGCTATGACCTCCCTACTGAGATCTGCTCCTAATGTCATATGGTTTCATCAGATCTCCCTCTGAGATCATCTGTGCTTGTATTTGTGCCCCAAAAAGTCTTCCTAAAGGATTTCTCTGCTCTGTCCATCCTTTAAAAAATCAGCCATAAAGTGGCTAATTTGTGTTGTTGTTTTGAACCATCTTTTCTGCTAAAGTGTTGATGAATCCAAC